GATTGAGAAACGGCCCGAGCCTTTGCTGTTGCAGCTCCAAAAGTATGGAACGAATTGCCCCTCCAGGTTAGACTTGCTCCAACTCGGCCTGTTTTTAAATCTCCTTTAAAAGCCCACTTATTTTCCTTTGCATTTACAGACTAGGTGACACTTGTGCTTTTACATTTGGGTTTGTATCTTACTAGTGTTTTGTATTGTTTTTACGTCATGTAGGAGAGTTTCTCAGTCTGTGGCTTCTGATCTGGTTTCATTGTCTCGTGTTTTACATTTGTTTCATGTCCTGTCTGTGTTTTATGTATTTATGCTATGTTTTTATACAGTTCTTGATGTACAGCACTTTGTTCAAATCTTCAAACTGTTGTTTTTAAATGTGTTATAGAAATAAAATGGATTGGATTGGATTAAGTAGAGATGTGGTCATTCTTAGTGTCACAATTTAGTTTTTTTGAATTTTCTGTTCCCTCTTTTATTTTTGTGATTGTTTGCCAGGATGACACCAAGAACAAGGACAGCAAATCCACAGGGAACCCAAAGAAGGAAAACCAGCGAGGAGCAAACTATCACAAAAAGGCGGGAAAACTCAAAGCTCTGAAGTGAAACAAGAAACAGCAAGGAGAGGGTTTTACGAAATATAGCACAAAACCAAAAATGCAAGAAAACAGATCCTAACAGTAAGTGTCCTGTGGCTTTAGAAAGGTAATTTTCCGGGTAAAAAGCCAAACTGACCCATTTAACATTGTGACTATGAAGATGTAATCCATGACAAAGTAAATAGTGGCTGCACGCAACACAACACACTTCTCTACTTCACAATATCTTTTTATTACAGTAAGGATAGATGAGATGACACTAGTATGAACTCTTATTTTGAAAAAGAAACAAATAATCTACAGCTTTGGAAAACAATTTATACTAAATGTGGGGGAAACTTCTGAAGCAATTGGAGACAGGACTCAGAGAGACACGAGGAGAGCTGGAGCTTTGATGGCAAACACTGACGGTTTATTTGGAGCTTCGGCCGGAGAATTCACAAGACATGTCACGGGGCCGACCACACGGTTGAGATGCCACAATCAATTCTGAAGAACCCTTCTGTATTTCGACGTTTGAACTAGTTCAGAGTGTAATAATCTACATTCTTCAATAGATAGTGAGGCTGTGGCTCGGTGGATAGTGTGCTGGACTTCGAATCAGGGGATAGCAAGTTGGAGTCCCACTGCAGTCAGCATGTCGTTGTGTCCCTGGGCAAGACACTTCACCCCAAAATGCTCCTGTGGGGATTGTCCACAGTACTGAATGAGTCGCTTTGGATAAAAGCGTCTTACGAATGACATGTAATGTAATGTGATAGACTGAACAGCTAAGGGACACCGAATCTTATTTTTTTGTCGCTTATGGCTCGGGGTCATCTACACCCCGAGAAGGACGTGTTCCAGGTGTCCCACAACAATAACTATCTCTGACCGAGGTCAAAAACTGGCAACATCAACAATATGCTAGGGCAGCCCCTCCTTAAGGGACATAGCGGTTGGTCAGCTGCGTCAGAGGGCGAAGGAGGACATGCAGGGCGAAT